AAGGTTTCTCTTGAGTATGAATTCTCCGATGTTGTGTAAGGTATGAATTACAACTAAAGACCTTGCCACATTCATCACATTTGTAAGGTTTCTCTCCAGTATGAATTCTCCGATGTTGTGCAAGGTATGAATTAAAACTAAAGACTTTGCCACATTCATGACATTTGTAAGGTTTCTCTCCAGTATGAATTCTACGATGATTTGCTAAGTTTGAACTTTGACTGAAAACCTTGCCACAAACATCACATTTGTAAGGTTTATCTGCATTATGGATAACCTGATGTATATAAAGCCTTGAACGCACACTAAATGCACTGCCACAGTCATTACATTTGTAAGGTTTCTCCCCAGTGTGAACACTCTGATGTCGTTTAAGGTATGAATTGCAACTAAAGACCTTGCCACATTCATCACATTTGTATGGATTATCTCTATTATGGATTCGCAGATGGGTTGTAAGTGTTGAGCGCACACTAAATGCTCTGCCACAGTCATCACACTTGTAAGGTTTCTCCCCAGTATGAATTGTCTGATGTCGAGATAGGTGTGAATTTTGACTGAAGACTTTGCCACATTCATTGCATCTGTAAGGTTTCTCTCCACTATGGATTCTCCAGTGTCGTAGAAAGTCTGAATTTTGCCTGAAGGCCTTGCCACACTCTTTACATTGGAAAGGTTTCTTTCCAGTACGGATGACCCCATGGTTAGGAAGGCTTGAAGACATACTAAAGGCTTTGCCGAGCTCATTATGTCTGTAAGGTTCTTCCCTAATGTGTGCTTTCACTTCTTCTGTGAATATTGGAGAACTGCCAAAATCATTCTTATATTTATTAAACATGTGGGTTTTCAGTTTAGAAGTAAGGTTTTCAAGTGGTGAAAGTGAGGTAATATGGTTGATAGTCTTTTCAACTTGGTTACATTCATAAATTTTCCCTTCAGCTTGAAATAGCTGCCTTTCAGGCAGATGGAACTGAAAGCTTAATCCCAGTTCGGTTTTAATAGGCTCGTTTCCTGCATCATTTCCCAAGACACAGCTCCTTCCTAGGAAAGCAAGAAAAGAGTGGGATTTGAACCCATGGATCTGGCCTCCGTAGAATCTAAGAAAAAGACTAGGATCTGCCCCACCTGACTGAGATATAGAAAGGAACATCAGCATAGTTTGTATATGACATTGGCAATGCTGAGAACATAAAGAGGTGCAGTAAGGCACTGGGCCAGTGGGAGGGTCTGCAGGAGCCAGGAGGATTATGCTGAGTTTGAGAGATTATGGGCTGAGAAATAGAACAGAAGCCGAAAGCTTCTGAAAAAAGCAGGGATAAGCTTCTTAGGGAAAATAAGACATTTAAAGGAAATTATCATACATTAGTAATAATATATAAAATAGCCAAGAAAGACAGACACATCACCAGAAAAGCAGTCAGTGCTCCTAGATCCTTTACAATGGGCTGATGAGTTAAGGGTCTCCCACTGCATAATTTCAGGACAAAAAGAGTGGGAGAGGCGGTGCTTTTAACAATGCTCAACCTAAACTAAAAATTACAGGGCTGACAAAAGACAGGGAAATATGCCCAAATAAAAGGAACAAAATAAATGCCCTGAAACAAAACCTAAAGGAACACAGCCTTCTCAAGCACTTGACAAATAATTAAATCAACTGTGCTAAAACGCCTAATGAGCTAAAAGATGAGAGATACAGAACTAAGTGAATGAAGGAAATGAATACCGAAAGAAGAGAATATCAAACAAAAGACAAACTAGTAACAAAAAGAAAATCTGGAGCTGCAATACAATAAATGTAGTGAAAATTCACTGGCAAGGAGGTACAAGAGCAGTCTAATAAGACAGAGGAGAGAAGGAGCACATTCAAAGATAGGTTATTCAAAATTATCACCTCCAAAGAGGAAAGAGAAGAAATAATGACAAAAAG